TACTTGGATAATCAAGTGTGGTGGTGGACATGTGGTAGTCACACATATACAGAATACACTAGATAATAAGTGCAGTATTTTTTAACTTTTAGGAAATGTTATATGGAAATATGTTGTTTTCTGACCCTTTCTGTATCTGTCTTCAGAAACTGGCCTTTTGAACATGTCACATTCAGCTTAGTAATTACTGATTACTTATATAAAATTTAGATGCTGAGAATCGAATGCAAACATGTATTTGTGCATTTACAATATAAAATAGCCCTGACACTCATTCATATTGTCATGCATACAAAATCATAAATTTATTTGGCCTTCTAAAAAAAAGTTTCAATAATCTTAGGAACTAGGTGACATCATAAAATGTTGTAAATGTTACTAACTTGAGACAGAAATTCATTCATGGTTCATCTGTGCTGAATGGCAACATCAAAAGGAGGAATATAACTTTTAAACTTTTCATTAGCTTTTCATAAACTTTAACAAAGTTTTATCTGCAGGTAGTAGCAAGTGAAAAATTTCTTGATCTTTGATCAAAATCAGCTGGAAACTCTGCTTGATTTTCTTCTTCCTGCTTACTTTTCTGAGTCTATAATTTACAACGAACTCATGTTGCACAAACCTTCTGATACTGAAGAACATCAAGAATGTGATTCACAAGTTCCTGTGAAATGTCAAGCTTGACATCAATTTCTCTTTGAGTGATCTGCCAATAGTCCTTGATCAGATAGACAGAAACTTTATTTCAGTCACTGATCAATAAAAATACATTCTGTAAAACAAACAAAACAAAATTATCCCCTAACATCAATAATTACTGGCAACCATTTGTGGGCGAAGCTTACACATAATGTTGCAGAATGTTGCTACTTTTAGAGAAATACATTTGTCTTGGTTTAACAGATAACACAAATAAAATTATCAGACTGTCCCGGAAATTTAAATAAAATGGGGGTAATGAACTGGTGATGAGTGTCCCTGTAGAACTGGCAGTACAAAAGAACATGGACTGTGGTTTCTATGGCACCCGTGTCACAGGGGCAGTTTCGAGTTTCATATGGGGTTTTCCTATATTTCCCTTCCAAAACAGCTGCGGGGAAGACATTAAGTCGGGCTAGAGATAAGGCTGTCCTGAATTTGGGGACTGTAATATAATATAAATATGAAGCTGGTTTAGGTGCTGAGATTTGGTTATTAGCAATTATATTATGTTACAGTGCAGGAGTTTCTGTTTGGCCTTCTATATCAAAGATTCTTTGCCTTATCATTGATCTAGCTTGATCTAACTCTAGCATTAAACTGGAATTACTGGAGAAACCACAGAGACTCAGCTTCTTTTGAACAGCTATTTCCCAAATGGATTTGAACTTATCTGCCAATATTAGATGGGTCAGTCCACTGGGGTTGTGATGTAATTTTATGAGTGGGTAAAGATATTTATCCAGAGATTAGATCTGAGTTTACTGACTCCTGCTTTCTGGCTGAAGTACAGCATTTGGAACACAGCCAGTACCCTGGAAGATGTTTCTTAGATATTTTATTAGTATTCTTTCTAAGGTAACCATGCTGTTATATGGTCCCAGTTGAACCCTGTATAGCAAGTGTGCTTGGGCTTTAGCTTGCAAGCAACTTAACTGCAGCAGGGATAAACTGTGCTCTTCTGGAAAAATAATAAGTTGGATAGTTGATGCAGATCTCTGTCCATTAAGAGATACATAGTCCAGGTGGGCATTTCTGCTTCCTGAAGCTTGAAAAACTATCCCTAGATACCTAAATTTCTTAACCTGCTCAATGGGCTGTCTACCTAAGTTCCAAATTTTCTGTTTCGGCTGTTTGGAAAAAGTAAGTATCTTAGTCTTGGTGTAATTTATTATTAGTTCCTCCTCAGTACAGTAATGCATAAGTGATCTCAGACCTCTTTTGAGGCCAATAGAAGTTAATGACAGAATTACTGCATCATCTGCACACAGTAATCAATTGACATGTCTTTGGGCTAATGTGGAAGGATGAAAAGTAGAGCTACTTAGATGAAGGACCAATGAGTTTATATAGTAGTTGAATAAAACTGGAGCCAATACACATCCCTGTCTGACTCCCCTCCTTACGGATATTTCCTTTGTGACATGTCCTTGATTACTGCACCTGATCTTCAATCTTGTGTTCTCATGTATTTTAATGAGCAGCAGGAGTAGACGTTTGTCAGTTATGGTATTTTTTAATTTATGCCAGAGTTTAGTTCTAGATACTGTGTCGAAAGCTGACCTAAAGTCCTTGATCAGTTCATCAACCTTCTCATGTGAAGTTCCTCAGTTGCTGTCACAGCTTGTCCACTTCATTTTTATCATACAAATCAACTCTTCCTGTTTTATCATCTTTACTTTTTTTGGCCCAGAGATGCACAGTACTTATGTCAATAAAGCCAACACCATTAACAGCCTACATTTGGTGGTGCATATCAACTGGAGGGACTTCTTTGACAGTCAAAAATTCAGTCATGGTCCTTTGTTTAAAGTGCACTGATGAGTGCTTGCTGCAGGCTTCCATTCATGAACAACAGCAACACAATCTTGTCTCACAGCAATTTCATCAGAGCTTCCAGTGTGTCATTATTGCCATTTGTTGGTGACATACAACATTGGAGGCATTCCTTTTCTTTCAGTCCTCATACTAAGCCTGCTTTTTTAAATCATAATGCTGGAGCAGATCTTTATATTATGATAAGATATAAAAGGAAGTACTTTTATTAAGTTATTAATTTATCATATTTATATGGCCACCCATCTCACACAAGGTGACTCTGGGTGGTGTATAATAAAACCAACTATTAAAACAGAATATAAAAACCAGAAAACCAGTTAAACAAATAATTTACATGAGTAAAAACAAGATTGCAAGAGGGTTAAATTAAGATATTATACTGGTGTAACCAATGCATGGGCTCTCTGTTGCCAGGGGATCCCCAAGCCTGATGGAAAAAAAACATGTTTCGAGGGTTTTCTGAAAGGCCATTAGGGTTGGGGCCAACCTCACCTCAGGGGTGATGATGTTCCAGAGGGAGAGCAGAAAAAGCTCATCTCCTGGGTCTCTTTGGGGCAAGATTTGTTGGCAGTAGCCTGAGAAAATTTAAAATGGAGTTTAAATTGAGAGGAAGCCAGCACAGAAGAGAAAAAAACTAAGGCAATTCCTTAGCCTAATTTCCAGTACTGCCAGTCTGGAGGGTGGGTAGACTCAACAATGAGCTGCAACCTTTAAAAACCCATGCCAATCTCAATCCCCACTGTCTGTTCCTCGGGTCTAGAAAATCTTGATGTGAAAATGAATGCCATCTAGGTGTCAAATCTTGCACCCCCGTTTATTTCTGTGACAAAGTGTGAGCGAGTGTATGTGTCGGGGTTGCTTGACTTGTACCCAGTAGGGATAAATTCACATGGTCATCTCTCTCATGCCCAGCCCTGGTGTACCTGCAGACAGAGAAATATAAGAAAGCACGTCTCCACAAGCTGCTGCTAAAGTTATTTCAGAGGAATGGATAGCGATATCTTTCCTCAGTAAACATTACCTTGCGTGTGTCTCTGTTAAACCCAGCTATTATCTCTAAGGTAGAACACTTCCAATTATTGCTCTTTCTTCCTTTGTAAGGAAATACTCAACACAGCGAACAAGCTGTCGTTCCCTTAAAAACAACTACAATTACGCAACTCCTCCTGGACATCTGATCAGATCCAGGAATCCCAAAAATGCAGTTCGAAAGCAGTGTTCTATATGAGGTACTGAGCTACTCCACAAAAACGATGTAAAACTTGGGGGAGGGGGATCATTCTTTGCTATTGTTGAGTCATTTTTCCGTAGAATCACAGAAGCAGATGACTGAATGACGGAGTAGTGGGTTCCTGGAATGTTTATATTTATGCCTAAGGTTTGTTAAACAGGCATGGGTACTCGCTCTTTTTTCCTGGTATTTGCTTGCTTGCTTGCTTGCTTGCTTGGGGCTGAAAATTCAAGGACTCACTCATCTAAACAAAGGGGTATTTCAACAGTGTTGGCTCCTAACATATCAAGCCACTAACTCACTTTATTAAAAACACAACGAACCTGTAAACTCTTCCTATAAACCAGACACCCGAGCGTGAAAATCGACCCTGTTTGAAGAAAAAAAATATATGAGAAAACTATCACGGAAAAAAACTCGTGCGCAAGAGCGGGCTGCAGGGAGCATGCGCAAAGAGCTCAGCCTCTTCGGAGAGGGGAGCGTAGCCGTTCCTCAGAGTGCGCAGGCGCACGAGCGGCCGGGCGACGGGGCCCCTCCTCCTCTGGCTTTCCACTGGGTAACAGCGTCGGGCCGTTGTCGCTCGGCTTCCTCCTCCTCCTTCTCCTCCTCGCCGCTTCCCGAAACCGGCGGGGGCAGCAACACTCAGGAGGGGCCCCTCCATCGCCAGCGGCATCACAAGGACGGGAAGCCGACATGAGGCAGGAGAGCTGCTGGCCTTGGCGATAGAAGGTGGGCTTCCGCCTCGCCCACCCTGGCGGGCTTCCTTCGGCTTCTTCCTCGCCGGCTCTTCCACCGCCTACCCGCTCCCTCCCTCCCTCCCGGTTCTCCAACCGCGCTGTCTGCGGCTGATGGGGCTGAGCATCTGGCGCTCTGGACCTGCTGGCTGGGGGGCGGGGGCTGCATTCCCGGGAATCTTGCGGGCCCCCAGTTGGGGGGTGATGCTCGCCTGCTGCCCCGGCCTTGCCTCCCCTCCGCGCCCCACCGGATGATGCTCTGTGGTCGCCCTTGTTCGCCTTCCCTGCTCTGACCTTGCCTTGGGAAGGTGTCCCTCCCACCCCCGGCCCTTTGCCCGCTCAGCCGTCTTGCGGCTCCCGGTTCGCTCTTTTCTCAGGGCTGCCCCCGCCTCGCCCCGAAAGGCTGAGCTCTCCAGGTTGACCCTAAACTTTGCCAAGCGCTAGGCTGGGGTCACTCGGTCTTCAGCCTTTTTTTACCCCCGCTGCATCTACTTCTTGGATCCTTTGGAGCCCTTTCGCGGACTCTCTTCCTCTCTTTTTCCATTATTCTTGCACCCTTAACTGAAAGAAGCCCCCGTTCTGAATCTTTTCTCCCCCTCCTGCCCAGCCAAATAATCTCAAACACTCTTCCTCTGTTCCATCTGACTGGCATCCACAGTTCTGTGCACCCTTCTTCCCTGGCTTCTTTCCCACTGAACTCTCCTCACCCTTGCCCTGGAATGCCTCCCCTCTCTTTCCTTCTCTGTTTTTTTCTTATAACATGAACTCAATCAATGCACTTTCCGGTCCTTTGCTTTATCTCAGAATTCTCATTTTATTGCCCTTTTTACTTTGCTCTCTAAACTGCTGCACCATTCTTCTGTATGCTTGTTTTCCTTGCTTTGGATTTAGTCATTCATTTTCTACATGGTCCCTGAAATTCCTAGCCTTTTTCTCAGTCAGGCGTCTCAAGTTGGCATGATGTCCAGCTTCCTTGCCATGTTAAACTTTTTCCATATTCACATGTACAGGGGAGGGGGGTGAGTCCCAGTGTTCAACTCAGAATCCAACCTGTCATCTGACTTATCTTTTGGGCTCCTGTTGCTTTCTAAAACCATGCAGTCTGCAGCATAAGGATATTTTGGGATTCTTTGTCAAGCTGATGCATAGTAAATAGATTTGATGTTTATTTACTTAATATAGAAGCAGTAGTAAACAATTGTGTTTTGTGCTATTTTGTAGTCTGCATAAATAGTAGGGGAGAAAAAAGAACAGTTGTTTTTTCAAGTATGGGGTTATGATGATTTGGTCTGACAGTTCTGTGTGGGTATCTCAGAAAAAGACTTACTATAAATAATTTGTTATAGCTTGCTGACAAGTAGACCATTGTGGTTTTGTTTTGAAAGGAGCTCACTTTTCTCTAGTGTTCTTCTCTTTAGTTGTTTATAGAAGTCTTTGTTAGCTTCAGATTGCCAGTGGATTTAAAGAAACAGTCATTTGGTTGAAAGAGGGCTCCCTCCCCCCCCCGCCCCGCAGCTGCAGAAAGTGGATCTTATTATTTGCCCTTTGAATGCATGTAAGAAGATAGATTTATATATTCCTTGAAGAAGCAAAGTATCGTTATCACTTCTGAAAAACCTATATATCAATATGCAGTAATACTCAGTTCCACTCATTCCTTAAGGATGTTGTGGTGCATGATACTGTAGTTATTTTTAGTATCCTCTGTGTGTGTGTCAGCACAGAAGCAGATCCATGAAAATAGCATGAAACATACAGCAAACTGTATGGATGGAAGCTGTTGCATTATTCTCTTTATTATGCTTATGAAGATCGCTTTATGTTTTTAATGACCTTAAAGTAAAATTGTTTATTAAAATGATTGTTACCAACCTTAAGCCTCAGGAGAGAGTGAGCTAGAAATTTAATAATTAGCTTATATTGTTCAGGTGACAAAATTAGCTATTTAATTTGGAGAATAGCTCACCTTATATATCTTATTTGGGAATGTCTTCAAACTCTGGGACTTAAAGTTCCAAGAGCTATATAAGCACATTGGTCAGAATCACTTTAAAAAAGTCTGACAAACAGTAGAGAGTAAGAACAGTCTTTTAAATATTTTCCCCCATTTTATTTAGTAACAATCTTGTCAATAAACCTAGTCATTATATTTCTCACTAAAACTAAGTCTATGGCTATATTAGCAACAGTATAAAAGCATTGCTTGTTTTAGCAGGGAAATAGAGTGGTTGTCTGGCTGGTAGTAATCCTCTGTTTCTTTAAAACAAGAAATTAGAAGACCTTTTTAAACAGATGTCTCAAGAGTTCATAGTCTGGAAGTCGTCTTAAATGCTGAGAGCTAGATTTCTTACTATCTATAACATCTGTTCTCCTTGTTTGTACAAAATATTATCCTTCTCTCTTAATTGCAAGCAGCAAAACAAGCCAAGAAATTGCAATTAACCATAGCTTCCCATTTATCTGAACTGTTGTTTAGTCGTTAAGTCGTGTCCGACTCTTCGTGACCCCATGAACCACACTGCGCCAGGCCTTCCTATCTGAACTGGGAAACTGTTAATTCCTTCTATTTCTAATTTACCCAGCAATCTCTTTACAGAGTTACTTATAACTTAAAGCCATCAAAAGAAAAGCTGTAAAACAATCATGTTTAATTAATAAATGGGACATAAGGGGTAAAAAGCATAAAAACTGCTATTCTAGTGTAGAAATTATGACTAATGGTATCCAAACAAACAGGAATGTCAATCCATAAGTTAATACTGGCTTCCATATCTTGGCTTGTTTGGAAGCCATTAACTAATTCCCAGTTCAGACAAAAGGAAACTTTGGCCAATTGTAGCTACTTGGCTGGTTTGAGTATGCACAGAACAAAGATAAAATGGCTGGGTGCAAGTATCTGAAGCTCATCGCATTAAGAAGTCCGAATATAAGTTACTTTTGCAATAGCTCAAAACAAAAGTTACAGAATTGTAGTAGGCATCCATTTCTGCCTTAAGCCTTCTACACGTAAATATATTTTTATATTGGTAGCTTGAAAGGTATCTTGATTTACATATATTTGAATATGCAAGTAAAAAGGGATCCCAATTGCCTTCAAGTAAAAATGTATCTGAAAATAAATACGAAATGTACTTATGCGTATCAGTGCAACCATAAGGACTATAATCTTAAAATGTAATGGCAGAAATAAATGCGCACGTCTGGTATAAATACTGCATTGAACTTCTTTCTTCTAGTGTTTTTATATGTACACACATGCACACTTAGATAGAAAGCCCTTTCCATGTTTTAAACATTTAAAATAGAATACATTCTGACCAACCATATCTCTTCCAGCTAAATAATAATGGTGGGAACATGGATGGCACCTCTAAACCCATGAGGCATTTCAACAAAATGGAAAGTTATTCTAGAAAAAAAAAATTCTCATAGTGACTTCTTATTCTCAGTTTTTAAGATCTACTTGCTCATATCAGTGAAATAAGAAACTGAGGTGCTAAATATATGTCCTACAAAATCTTAGTGAATATTATTGTTTAGCTATAATGTGCATATAACTATGGTTTTTGTATTTTCAGATCTGTATAGTACAAATTATTGGTAACCATGGTGCAGAAATACCAGTCTCCCGTGCGGGTGTATAAACACCCCTTTGAGCTAATTATGGCTGTAAGTATCTGTTTTTGTAATATAATTGTGAATTGTATTGGCTCTGTTTATTGCTTGGTTGGATAATTAAGAAAAGATTAAGAAATCTAACTGGTTTTGGACATTGTTGCTCTAAAGAAGTTGATGTTTATAGCCAGTTCCAGTTAAATATATTCAAGATGGCGTATCCATTTCTGTTCTTCAACATAAGTAGGTGACTTGAAACAAATATCAGAAAACAATAGGAATAATATGCATGACTATTGTGGCAGTTCATTGGTTAAGTTCTGTTATTATACAAAAACGAGTAAGAAAATTGGCTTGGTTTGGCATAATATCTGAATTATATTAGGTTTGACTGCTTGGCTTTAGACAGATCACTGTGCTGATGATGAAAACAGAAGCAGGCCAGTCAGCGGTAAAATCGTATTTTTCCCTATTTAGGGAAGTAATTATTTTCTTTTTATTATAATTTTTTTCACTATGTTGCTGTATTTTTTTTTTTTAAGAATCCAAAACTATGATTATTTTCTGCACATCAGTTTTGGATTCTTGGTATACAATGATTATGTGATGTCTGAATTAGCTATTCTGGAGCATCTGGTTCTGAGACTGTAATGTTGCTTACATTTTTTCTGGTATAATTTAAGATACTTCCTCCTCTCCTGTGGAATAGGAAGAAAAAAACCTTCCTGTTATAAAAATCTTTTGCTCCTAAACCAGCAATATTATTGGCAGAATTGTTGTAGGAGGCACAGAACATCTGAAGGCGTGGGCAATAGCAAATAGGCACAATGTGCTATGTAAAACCGTTACTTTGTGCTAAGAAATACTGGTAAAATGATAACTTAAGGACCTTTATTATATCATTGGTTACAGAGCCTTCAAAACTAAATTTTAGGAACAGAAAGAAGACTTAAAGAAGTTATTAAAATATGCAGATTAACTTGGATCTTCACTCAGGACTGACTGTATTATTAATCCATTATTTTAGGGCGAGGTACTGCTGGCCCTACAGTTGTTCCAAGCATCCCTCACCATTGGCCATATTGGGAGTTTTCAGCAGCTGCCGGAAGGCCACAGATTCCTCCCCCTATATCTAGCCAGTCTTTCTGACTGAATGATTAGTAAAACTACTGCATTTGTTTTCTGAATAGCTTTTGTAGGGGTAGTATAATAATGCTTGTGAATAGGGTTGAAAAATACAGAAACTGGGATTTGGTTAAGTAAAAAAAAGCATGAGTCCAAGAACAGTGAAATGTTGTCATTTGCTTTTTGTCCATAGGAAGCTGATCGTGTAAATGAATATAGTAGAAATTCACAAGATTTAACAAAAAGGTTAAAAGGGCTTCTGGCACCATTTCTCAAGAAAATTGAGTGCTGAAAGACAAAATTGAACCTGCTTTCTCAGTGCAGGACCTTACCAATAATATACATTTGCTGCTTTAGCATAGCATCCCTGAGCTAGTCCATTTGTGTTTGCATGGCAAGAATCTTTTTTTTTTTTTTTTAATGTCTGTTAACTGCTTGCCTCATTCTAGAACTATGTAGTGATGCTAGGGAGTGTCATGCTAAATGACTTGGGTACCACTGCCTTCCACTATGGCTACCAATTCAACCATGAGGTATAGCAACAGAACTTTAATGTATCTCAGCTGCAGAGCTGGTACCAAACTTGCCTTCCAGGAGATCCTCATTGAAATACTCAGTGTATGGCCATCAGAAAGTTGAACATTGGGTCAAATGCAGTGAAATGATATTTCTCTGACAAGTGTAAAGTCATACATTTGGCTAGGAAAAGTCAGCTACACAGATGCAGGATTGGAGAGACCTGGCTTAGGGAGCATTGCATGTGAGAAGTTTCTAGGCGTACTGGTGGACTGTTAGCTGAACATGAACTAGCAGTGTGATGCAGATAAAGAGGTGTTCCATTCAGATCACAGGAGGGGATAGTTTTGTGGTAGTCTAGACTGGTAAGACTATACTTAAAGTACTGTGTTCAGTTCTGGGCGAAACAAAGGAACATGAATAAGATGGAGCATGTTCAGAGGAGAACTACCAGGATGATAAGGGATATGAAAACCAAGCCCTATATGGATTAGTTAAAAGAGCTGGGCATGTTTAGCTTGCGAAAAAGAAAGCTAAGGAGCTATATGATAACAATCCACAAATAATGAAAAGATGTCATGTGGGGGAGGTGTCTGTTCTCTATTGAAACCAAGAGCAAGACAAGGACCACTGGCTAATGTAAAAGAAAGGAGATTCAGAATGAACATTAAGGGGAAGTTCCTGACAGTAAAGGCTGCTTTTCTTCCAGTGGAGCCTTTATAACCTCCGCTTTAAAATGGAGCTCTGTGCTGGGGGTGGTTTACTGGATTCTTGTACTTAATAAGGGGCTAAGATTAGATGACCTATACAGTAAAGTTCCATCCAGGTTCTGTATTCTGTGATGCTATATAAATTACAGAGACTGTCTTGTAAAGTCCCGTTCTAGTAAGTTTTGTGTCTGCGTGCAAATTGATTGTGCCATGTTGTTCTTCATTACTAGCAACTGTTCAATGACCTTTCAAATATATCTCTTTCAGTGATTGCTCTGATCACTGATTTTTGTTACATCTCCACTGCACCTATGACTTCTGAATAGGGTTCAGAAAAAGGCACCTTATATCAAATGAATGTATTCACTTTCCTGAATGTTGAAATGGACAAAGAAAGCAGTTTACAGATGGCTTTAAAACTTCGTAAGAATGTCTTCATTCATAGTTCAAAGCATACAGAGCTCTGATTAGCAGATACATTTGGGGAAATGTTTTTTTTTATTTAAAGTCCCCAGCATAAATAAATCAAATAAAAAAATAATTATATGAAATATATCTAGGGCTCCTAAATATTAAGTTCTGGGCTCCCAGAGGTCAGTCCTAAAAATATGTATTAACACCATTTTGGATGTTAAACTTTAAAGCATCTTAATCCATACCTTGAGGATTTATAGTCAGAGCTGGTCAGGGATAAGCTATAAGCAAACATAACGTAGGAAATAATTTTTTATGAAAGGGTAAAGGATGAATTTTCTTTGCACTGTTCTTAATAAAGCAAACTTATTCAGTGAGATGGAACGTCAGAAAAGTCAAAGAATGTATTTAATTATGATGAGTTACTAGGTTGGCAATATTTATTATACTGATTTGGATTTCTAGCATTCTGAAATATGTCCAGAATAGAAAGTAGTAGAGCAGGATTGATCCTGATTATTTATTTACTGCTGAAAATAGAGGCAATACTTTCTTGTCAATGGTTGCTTAATTGGTCTGTGATTAAACAAAAGTTTTCTTCCATTCTTAGAGAGGCAAAAGTCTTCGCTTGATTGCTGTGAGCTGAAATTATATAGATTATAACTATTGTTTTCTTATGCTATAGCTATTTAATAGTACAGTGGTACCTCGGGTCACGAACGTTTCTGTTCACGACCAATTCGGGTCACGAACAGCACCGTTCGCAAAATTTTGCTTCCGTCCGCGAACTCCGTATCGGGTGACGAACAGGATCTGTCGCCATTTTCCCTACTGTGACACGTGGTCGTGGCTTCCTATAGGGAGGGGGACTCTCCCTCCAAGCAATACCCCCCTCCCCACCCGCCTTCCTGTCCTC